TTTCCGTGTCGGAAAACGGCGGCTGGCGATCGAGAGATCCCTTAAGGATCCCATGGACCCCCGCGACGTTCTATGACCGCCGCCGCCGCCACCGCCGCGCACGCAACTTTTCTTTCATCTTGGACGAAAATAAGTCCGAGAAAGAGAGGACCGCTTTCCCGTGGGAAATGTAGTCATCTGCGCCGAGAAATTTCGAGATACCCGAGGGTAGTTTTCTACGGTATTCGCGAATCTCCAAGGAAACCCAGAATCGCCATGTCTCGTAACGTTTCAGGTTTCTCAACGTTACAGAAATGCTGTGATGCACAAATTGTTCCAGAAGATAAAGTGCATTAATCCTTAAATATTTTATTTTACAAAAATAAATTTAAAAATATAACAGTCATTTGGAAGAATATATATTATAAATAAGAAAATCGTGTTATAAAAAGTAATGACAACGAATAAAATTTATTCTTTAAATTTAACTCAGAAATTTTAAAAGATCGTATGTAATCAGTTTATGCAATAATTTAGAAAAAATATATATATATGTTCATATTAAAATTATGTTAAAAGCTAATCTCGGAGATTAGATTTTATGTGTCTAGTTAAAAAATTTAAGATACAATCGTGTGTACGAGATGTGTAAAAATATATTAGAATCCATATACAGAAATCACATTTATAAAATATACGATCCTATTTGAGAGTCGTATTTAAGAATTAATGTCGAAAAACATTTTTCCATCAAGATTCTATTTCTGCCTCAATAACATTCACAAATTTACATGAATATTTTCGTCCAGTCACATAAATATGGATAATATATGATAACATTATATTGATTAATATAGATATTCGAGAGACTCGCGAGGTCCGGTATTATTTATAGCTTTCGCTTTTCACGATGGAAACGAGATAAAAATACGTGCAGTTTAACGAGTGTACGAGCATACGAGCGAGGACGGACAGAGCTGACGATTATTGGCGGACCGGTTCCAAAACTGCTGATCGATGAATCGCGCGTCGTTATTACCAGTGTTTACCAATTAGCCTGCGTGCAATTATAATTGGTAATTGCAGGTATTTGCGAACCGCGTCGGCCGCGACACCGCAACTCTCCCCCTCGCGGCGCGCCGTCTCTATCCACGAGAATCATCCTGTTGAGGCACCCCCGTGTGCCACGTTGATTTTAATAAACGCCAAAACGGAAATTCACATATATTCATGGTTTTCCACTAGCTGAAATATTGTCGGTTAACAGTTTCGTGTATACGGAATTTAAGGACTAAAATATCAGGAATAAATTTCAAGTCTCCGGAGTTTAATAAAATTGACGTTAAGCAACAAGGAAACTGACAATGAGTAATATGCTTAAAAAGCCGATTTTTTATTTCAAAGAGAGGACAAGCAATTCAATTATACAGACTGTATACATAGTGAATATCTCGCGTCAACTCATTTTAATTCATTTATCTTCACAAAGTAGAGTGACGGCGAGAGGAAGCTGAATAATTTTTTTTTCTGAGACGATAGAGAAGAGGGCTTTTCGCCGAGCGGAAACAGAACGTCCAACATAAAGTTTCGTTCTCGTTTCATCTCTTGCCGCCGGAGGGACTTCGCGCGTTCCAAACGAGAGAAATCACTGCGACGGGAAAATAAGTATATATATATATATATATATATAAAGGTAACACACGCGCGATTCGCGCGCGCAGCCGGGATAAAGAATAGACTTGGTTTCTCCGTCTCCGACCGTCTCTCACTGGGGCCAGATCCGATATAACGATAGCGACAAGTTAAAGAGGATGCCGAAAGGATATCGGGGTCGCGCCGTCGATTGAGCACGAAGGTTACGAGAAAGGTTAGGCAACCCCGACCCGGAAAACTGATTCCCCGGCCCGTATCTACAGTTCGCTCGAAGTTCGGAGAAGTGGACCTCTCATAGATTTTTCTTGCAAATAGATTTTTCTTCGGGGCGGCTCACGCGCGAGGGAAGCGCGCGAGGATCGATAGCCGTGAGAAAAGGGATATGGATAAAATCAGCACGAATCACGAGAGAGAGAGAGAGAGAGAGAGAAAGAGAGAGAGAAAGAACGAACAGATTTGGCGTTATTGAAACAAAACTTCTTTACAGATCTTTCTCGTACAAAGAGAAAAATCGCCTCTCTCTCGTCCAACGTAAGTCACGTGGAAAATAGACGGCCCGAAACTCCCGAAGTCGCTTCGGAAACTTTCGCTGCTTTCGTAATCTAGCGCTTTTATTTAACTGAGTTTAATTAAGATTGACTAATTAAGATTAATCCATGAAATATTGCGCTATATTTAGCGAAAAAATGTGTAGCCGATCTGAATGAAAGTCCGTCCTACCTTTCTTTTTTCTTTCCCTTTAATTTCGTGCGATCGTAGTCACGTATCTACATAATCTCCGATATGCGTTTGCTCCGCCATCCACGCCGTCCCGCTGGTCCGTTTGAGGTAAGACAGCCGTCAATCCGAGCGAGGCCTTCGGGAACGTCGACGAATCGATACCATCGTCGTCCGACGTCCCCGCCAACGTGAAAGGCAAAGTGGATGCAAGCGGCTGCGTCGTATCTCCATTCATCTGCATACGAGCCGAGGTCCTCCACGGAGGCCAATAGACCGAGTCCTCGGAATCCCCGCAGAATCGACTTGCAGAACTCCCGGCTCCTTTGACATCAGAATTATTGTGTTCTGACGCTCTCCGGCATGAATCGACAGGGTTCTCCGAGTTTTATTGCCTCCGTTCTATAACTTAGTAAAATTCTTCCCCCCCCCCCCCTCTGTCTTTCTTTCTCTCTAAAGTATCTCTTTTTTTTACTATATCATACATAGATTCCGCGTCATCGCTCGAGGATCTCAACGTTCTTCGGATTCTTCGTACAAATCAAATACCGTATCCTACCGCATTTCGGCTCGGATCGGTAGAATATTTGCATCACAAACAATCGACTTCTCAACTTGTGGATCCTTCAAATCTTAGAAAATTATATTTTTAAAATTCCACGTAGATATAATCTAAGACATTTATAAAGACTCGTATTCGATAAATTTTTTACGTTCTAAAAGTCGAATGGCATTAGTGAAACCGCTATCCACCGTGCAGTGGATCTCTCCCAGGAAATCTTGCAATGAGAGGTCACGCGCGTCCCGTTCCTTTGACACCGAAGTTACTTGAGCTTTACTGCTCGGTACAGCGGAGGATACTATGCACGGACGAGCGTTTATCCCTTTCCGTACACTCCTTGTGCCTGTCTCGTCCTTTCTCAGGGGTCAAAGGCGGGCCGAAGGGTTAACGTACTCTGTGCACCAGGAGCATCCCTATCGAAACACAGACGTTAACCTTTGCCGAATCCTCCCCCATTGCGCCGTCACTCTCCTTTGAATGCGGGGATTGTTCTGCGATTGGCCACGACGGCGAGAGATCTCCCGCGTTTGGCTTTGTCCAAATATTACTCCACAGAGCTTGGTGCTGCGCAGACCGCGCGCTACGTATATGATACTTCCGACAATAGATTGGAACGGGACGTATGGAGGAAACGTAACGGCACGTGTAACGCGAGGGCCGATAATGTCGTCGCACTCCCGAGTGCAATGGGAAAATATAGCGCGGATATCTCGAATGTGGGTTGAATAGACAGATAAACCGATGGGCATTACGTAACCGCGCGCGTCAATCGCGACGGTTCAAAATTGACGTCGTTTAGAGGTACACGCTTCCTTCGCTCGACGAGTTATAATTGCTTCTATACATTTACGGGACGTTCTGTGATTTTATTCGAAAGATCCATAAGAATTTTTCGGGCTGAATTTTTCCACAGCGCGAATGAATTTCGTCCCATCATCGGGCGAAAGAGTAAAGGTCGTCGCGCGGAATGTTAACTTCCATCCGTGTCGCCGGGCGAGAAAAAGGCCGTCGCGGGGAATCCAATTAATCGATATTCGTCCACGTTAAAATGCGGAAACGATTGCCGGTGCGCGCGCTCTCGGCCGAATTTTTTTTTCGCAAACCCCGTGGAACGCACGGCACGCTCGACGCCCCGCCACAAAGACGGCGCGTAATCGATATTGCGGATTTTCAAAAGCCCGGGATGCCGTCGGAAAGAAATGAGAGAGGAAGAGAGAGAAAGAAAGAGAAAGAGAGAGGAACTGCATGTCGATCCTACCTGAGATTTAGGTATCTCAAGATCGCGGCGCGCGGCGGCGGCCGGCCGCTGGAAACTTATTCAGATATCGGAACGCGCGATCGTCGATATGCGTGCAAGCTGCGTTAAATTATTCCACGATGTATTCGGCATATAACAACTTCCGCCGTGGATTCCGAGAGACGGTGGAATCGACACGCGGGGCACGTAGCTTCGATCGTTGGACGATCACGAAAGAATCGTAAAGATAATAAGAAATATTCCATTAAATGAAAGATGTAGATGTGATTCGAATCTCGATATACGCCTCTTTAAGTGCTTTAATTCGTAAACTTATAGCTATATATATATATATATAAATATAGAGAGAAATGCACACATTGCTTGGTCTATACACGAAATAATCTGACAACAATACATCGATATATGTATATGTATATATGTATATATATATATATATATATATATATATATCGATGTATTATATATATATATATCGATGTATTATATATATATATATCGATGTATTATTGTCAGATTATTTCGTGTAGTGTGCATTTCTCTCTATAATATTTTTTAATAGCAAGTAATTCTCGGATCATGGAAATGGAAGTGTTTAATCTCTTCGTGTGGACGAATTTTTAAAATTGAAAAAGTGATGTAATTTTGTTTAGTTATATTTGATTCGCTTTAAATCCATAGCATTATTAAAAAAAACAAAAATTACATCTCCTGTGAAGTTTTATTTGTTTTCACTCTGTCAGTAGTATTAAAATTGAAAAAAAAAAAAACTAAAAACGTACAAATACGCGCGCTGAAGAGGTTAAAAATTACGGAATAAAAACATTAAAATATACTCATTTTGGTATTAATTATTCATTGATACAAACGATACAAAAACAGAATAACTTAGAAACACACAGTTCACAAATGGCGCATATAACAAGCCAAATGCGGACGAACCGAGCAAACAATCAAACACGCGATATTATTGTTACGTAAGGCGCTTTACGTGATCCGTCTTCCTTCGAGAAGTCTTGATGAAGCCGAGGAACTGCAGTGCGGCGACCGCTTGAGTAAACCGAGCTCTGAATCCCCCGTTAAGGATAAGTTACTACATGATGAAATGCGAGATAACACGTGCGAATTATTCAAACTAGGGAGGGTATCTAGTTCGCGGAAGTTACGTCTACGGGGATACGGATCCTCGCGTTAGGAGGCGTGATATGAATTTCAAAGGCATGGCGCGCGCGGCGGCAGGTAAGACAAATCTCGACGAGTGCCGATCACGTTGAATGCGCGCGCGCCTCGTGAGAGCTGCCTCGTGCGCGTTCGCGGAAACTTTTGTAAAGGATACTGTAGTCGCGGATCCACGTCGCGCTGCTCCGCCGACTCGGCCTGCGGATCCGCGATGGTCAGGAACGCCTGCAAGCACATGATATCGAGTCCTCTTGAATTTTGACATCCGATGTTTAAAAATTAGTACGTAAGGCGCATTTCGCCTAAAAATTAACTCTGCTTATCTCCACTTTTAAAAATCTGAAAAAATTCTTAAAAACTCCAACATAATGCAGAACATTATGTTGGAACCATAAAAGAAATTTTGGAATCCAGTCGTAAATGAATATTTTTTTCCAAAACGAAAATTGAAATTTCAGCTAAATCATTATAAAACAAATATATTTTTTAAGATACTTCCTTTTATAGTTAATTTTTAAATGTATTATTTCTCAATTATTTGTTAGCAATCGTAAAAAATTTTTCCTTATATAAAAGACATTGTCTTTGTATATTCTACATATATTGGAATATTTTTGAGAATTTTTTCAGATTTTTAAAAGTGGATTTAAGCAGTTTATTTTTAGATAGACTCCTGATACGTGGAATGTGCCATATCTCTACTGACAAAAATGATGGAATAATTTAGAAAATATAACAATAAAAAAAAATAAAACTCAAGCTTAAGAACTTAAAGAACCAAACTTAAGGACCTAAAAACGCAAATGTTAAGTCTCACAGCAGGGAGAGTTTTATTAGTCTCCCAAGGTTCAATTAGAAAATCTTAAAAATTCTTCCTATATATTAAGCGTCCAGTAATATCCCCCGTGATCTCCGATCGGCGCCGCGGCGTCGTTAAATCGCTCGGCGGAGAGCACACGGTTTTCGCCGGTACACTTTTCATGAGAAGCGTTTTACCGGCTTCCTAACAATCGGCCGGCGATAAAGTACTCGGCACCCCTTGTATGCGCCTTGCTTACAATGACGTGCTCGCGTGAATCACTCGCGGCGGCGGCGGCGATTAAAATCACGAGATGGTCGGCCGGCCGGCCGGGTGCGTGACCGTAAGTGTAACAGGGATTAACCTGTAAACATGAGCGCAAGCCGGATTGTTACCTGCAGCCAGTCGTACATATTGATCAGCTTCCTGGACTCCAAGTGTAGCTTATAAATTATACTCAGGTCGGGGAGCGTGCGCGGAATGTCGTCGTCGTTCTCCAATTTGCAGCAGTCGCACTGAAATATAACAATCTTCAATTAACCGCGCCGCGCGGTCTATCAAAAAGCGCGATCTTTTCATCGGTCGCCAATGAATCCGCTCGTACAAGAAAAGATTAAATATCACGAGAAAAATGACTACGGTGCGCAGCGGGATTTTTATCAGTATCAAAACACGTTATATTCCGTTATATTCAGCATCGAAAGATCCGAGAAGCTGAAGAAAGAAAATAGATCGAAGAGAGAAAATGTGAAGGAAAAATAATTTAATTTTAACACACAAATTATAACTCAAGGCAAAGATCTCGGGCGTCATCTTTTCGCATCGTTTCGTAATATTCATATTCCTGAGGCAGTTACAATTCTCTGCGCGTAATGATATCCGTTTACATTATTTAAATGATCAATTTCACAATTCCAAATTTTTCAGTCACGTTCCCGCTGACGGCGCGACGTGCGCAACAAGAGAGCTATTGTTAACTAAAATCGCGTGCATAAGCTTATTCATGCGGGGCTCCTTCACTCACGTCCAGATACATCTGCGGATCGTTCAATCCCGTGTGTATGGCGGCCCGCAAGGAGCCGCGAATGTGATGCTTCGCCTGATTCCCGTCGCTGTAGCAAAATATCTCGTGAGCCGTCACGCGACTCGGATCGATCAGATGAACGGAAAACACTTTTCGGTCCAGGTAATCGATCAGGTCAAGCTGCGCCTGTTTGTAAGCAGAGCGCGACTGTTGCTGACTCATTTTGAGCAATTTCTGAAAAGAGGGCACGTCGTAGTTGAACGGTAGAGCTACTAATCACTACGTCCTACTGTTTTCATCGACAATCTTCATTTCGCAAAGTTCCGATCGCGGTACAATATGTATATATTTATAAAGAGAACTCACTTTACGCGACTTCGTATTTAAAAAACGATAAAATCTTATTAATCGTATATAAAATAATATTAAACATCATTTGTGCGTTATCAAATTTCTATCGTGTCGAAAATTCAATTTGATATAAAATCATAGCTTAATTTGCCGTTTGAAATAGTATTATATAACGTTTCGTAACTTTAAGTTAAAAATAATTGTACTATTCTGGTGCAGAAAGTTAACGAGGACAGTTGAGAAAGTACGATTTTGCACCCAGTGCATACCTCCTTCAGTTGCATACGACTAAGTTTCTCTTCCACACCGATGATTTCGGAAGAAGTTGTTGTACTTAAACTGGCCTCTCGAATCTTCTTGATGTGACTGTTAAGGTTGGCCTTAATTTTCTTGATTTCCGAATCTTTGGAGTCCTCGAGAATTTTTACGACAGATTCGAGTTTCGAGAGGAGTTCCTCCTTCGATAGAAAACCCAGTAATTTCAGACACTCTTTGTATTCGGGGGACTCGGTGAGATCATTCGTGTAAACCGCTTTTGTGTAAAACTCTCGCAACTGAAACGATTGTGACATTGTTCGATGTGTACCGCTTTCTTGCGTAATACAATATATCTTATTCCGACTCAATAACGCCATACTACCTGTTTACCCATTGGCGAGCCTGGCAATGAAGCAATCAAGCAGTGCAAACATCTCAAAACAATTAAAAATTGATCCATAAATTTATGGAATTTATACAACAACTGTTCCAACAGCTCCTACAAAAAGCGGAGTTTAAAAGGATGATTTGGAAACGTTAATGAGATTGCCAAAAATTATGAGCATCAATAAACAATTCCGAAAGAGAGACACGTTTAAAAGCTGTCCTTCATAAAAGTTTCTATTAAAAATTGTCCATCCTCCCGTTTTTAGCATTAAACAACTTGATAATCAATGGGCTGTAATATTAAAATTTGTTAATGGCGTAAATTTAATTACATATTATTTGAAAGGTAGGTCCCGTTACTGATGGCTATAATTTTTGCAATACTCGTAAATAAACTGTGCGAACCATGAATTCTTTATCGCTAAGCTTTCCATCTCCATTCGCCACTTCACTGGACGCCTTTAAATATTTAGCGATCGACGGTAAACTTTTAATGTCCATGATATTTTCAGCAGTGAGTTCAGATATTCTTTTTTTAATGTCTTTTGGCTGACAACAAAGAGCACTTACATTGTTCTCGTAAAAATGTTGTATCATGCATACCTAAAAAAAAATCCCCGTAATTTATAACTATAATAAGGTCCATATCCATTTTGTCGACTCATTAATTACCGATTCATCGATTGCTCGTTACCTTGTAATTTTGTAAGAAATTATCCACCGAGAAATCGTAAAACAGAAAAATGTCAGTCAACAATTGGAACGCGCGGCCGATTAATTTAAATGGAATCTCTGTAGAGAAAACAGTGCCCTCCAATACATCGGATAGTGTTTTGACTTGCGTTTGCGTATAGAATACCTAAACAAGTGGACGAATTATTTAGAGTTTTCGCGTAAACATTTGCATCGAATGTCAAAATATTTTTGTTTGACTTGCCTGCACGACTAACTTCGACGTGACGTCATATGTCAATGATTTATGTACGACATGCAATGTAGTCGCGACACCAAAGATAAGTACGAATTTCAATGTGCTCCTGTACGAACTGAAAATTATTCACGCTGTATTCTTTAAAGTTCATGATTTTTTTTAACCCTAAAACACAGCACTGGTAAATAACAATACGCAAAAAAAGATATACGTGCGTGAATTTACAACTTTGATTACCAATCATCGAGAATGGACTACTAAACATCAATAAACAACCACCAAACAAATGCTTATAATTATGATTACTTACGCAGTCTAAAAAGTCATATTTTGCAAAAGGAGGGGCTAACTTCACGCGCGCTTATGTCTTTTTTCATATTATTATTTATAACTTTGACTATCAATCGTTGAGAATAGACTACCAAATACTACCAAACGACCACCATCGAATAGTAAGGTCGTTTTTGAATTTTTAGTAGTGGGGATCAACTTCACACAGCTCACTGAGTCTGAGAGATCCATAAGAAATTTCGATCGCTTTGCTGTAAGAAGGTTTGAGTTAGAGGGGGAAAAAAGTTAGAGATTTCCACTATCGATCGCAACGTTGACCAGCTTTAGTGTTCAGATCAATTTTAGACACCTTGAGCTAATCGTAAAAATTATATTGTTCTTGTTACATAATTATACTTTTTAAAAAGAACAATGCCATTATTTCTTTCTTAAAATATCTTTGTAGCTTTACAACGCGGGATTATAAAATCCTTAAAAAGTTTTTTGTTATAAAGTATGATTTAATTCAAAAAATGAATATTTATAAATTTCTTATTTTCACTTAATGATTTTTTCTGAATAACTTCACAATAAATCATTTTTCGCTAATACCATCTATTCAGTCACGTTTTGGAGATACTGAACTTTCATTTAAAAAAAAATTGTTGAAGAATATTGATTGGAACCAAAGTTATGATTTCTCAAAGTTGAATGGATTTCCCAGACCCATGTGTTTTAAGTGCTGTGTTTTAAGTTGGCGTCGAATATGCTGTGTTCTAGAGTTAATGCATTGTCCCATGCACTGGAAGTCAAAGATTGTCAAGAATACCTCAACACCAAGATAAAATCATGCAACACGTTGATGGGGAAGCTTTCAAAATCCGGCAAAATTATAATTAAGGGATCCTCCGGATCGTGATATTCCGCAAACAGTGTCTTCAGAACACGCATAGTGCACTGACTTTTGCGCACTTCGGGCACATCGTCCTACGAACGAGAATTTATTTAAAGATCGCAACGGAGACCGTCTATTCGCTATCAACAATTTGATAAACTAACCAATTCCAAAATTGTGTTTTGATGAGTAAATTGATATACGGTATCTTCGATGATGCTTTTCACGCTATTACAATTTCTGCTCCAAACCACCGCTAAATGCGGCGTTATTTTACTAAGCTTGGACACCGTCGTGTCGAAAAGTGTCGTATGATCAGGAACATTTACTCCTATAATTTTAATTCATTTAACTTTGTTTAACATTTATCGGAAAAAAATTTCTTAATGAGTGAAAACGTTAGAGAAAGAGATCTTTAATAGGCAAAAATTACTTCGACATTTTTCATCGATTTCAGCTTCGCGTTGAAAAATGCATAGCAATCTTTAAAATAAAAATAAGCGTTTATTTTCACCTGTTAGCAAAATAGCCGTGGCTATTTCGTGGGACGATACATTCAATGGAGTCGCTTTTATTTTCGACACGAACGACTCCAAATTGGATATAACTTGTTGAAACATTTTCGATCTGACATTCTGAAATATTAATGTATTCTGTTAGGTAGTCTGGCTGTTTGATTGAGATTTATGGCTAGTGCTAACACACGGTGTGGTTGTACCTCCGCAGCCTGCTCGATATATCCCCAAGTTTCGTTATACGCGATATACCAGGGTTCATTGAGATACATCGGGCATTTAACTTTCCTTTTTTTCTTTCCAATTTTATAACTTCCTTTGTGAGCAAATACTCCCTAAAAATCACGATCAATGTTACATTCTAATTAGCCACGCTTATCTGTCGCATCAATACTAAACTGACAATATTATTGTCCCTATTGTTTTAGAATTTACTGTGATTAGTATTAATTATAAGAATTATTACATATAAAATTATATTGATTAGGAAAAATCAGTATAAACTAATTCCTCACATATTTCATATACCTATATTATTCTTTCCATTGCGAATTTTATTAAGTTTTAACAGTATACAATCTTAAAAAAAAAACTACAAATGTTTTAAACGCTAATATATCTAAGAAAAATCGAAAATAAAAAATTTATAAGTGACGTTAATCACAAAACTGAAAAAAGTACTGAAAAAAGTAACACTGTACAAGAGGCTAACAGTAACGGGCTCTCTTCGATAAAACTTTTTAAGGCCGCTGCGAGAGCGACGGTCTATGAATCATTATTCGGCGTTCCCGCGCGCTAACTTTGCACTTTGAGGTTAAGCCGGCGATAGCAACAGGTTGCACGTGTCGTATCGCTTACCTTGGATAGAGAAACGTTCTCCATTTCTGCAACCAGCAGTCAACGCCGTCGAGACGTCAGGTATATTCGTCTTGAGCGCACGCCTCTGCGTAGATAAGAGAAACAGGAGTTATTCGCAGAGCGCGATGCAAACACACGCACGAACTACCGGTTGCGTGGCCGCGCGACTGATCGCGACCGAACGGCGAACAGCTGTCAGCCGACACACGGAAATAATCTTGTGATTCTTGTGCCGCTAGTTGGCGCCATGTACTGAGGCGTCTGCTAGAGCATCTGTAGTCTGTGGTTCGCAGAGATGACGGACGTCCGCTCTTCGCGCGATCATTTTGGGCTTGTCAGCGTGAACTCAATGATGGACACTCACACATTGTATAAATTTATATACTTGCGTTTTTACGTGAAAACTCAAGTTTATATTTTTTATTTATATCCATTAATTAATTTCTTAATTATTCGGAAAAATTCATTGATCAAAAAATCACCTCCTATAGCTGTACAATTATAAATCTGTAGAGACGAACTCATTCATCTTGTTTCACAATATCTCGATGCACAATATCTCGATTTTTAAAAAATATAAATAGTATAAAATTAAAGACAAATATTTTTGGGAATAAATAAGTAATTTATTTATAAAAATATTACGATTAAAAATACGAATTGTATAAACTTTAAATTTTTTTCTCGAGTTAGATCGTTTTAACCATCGCTTTTACGTAATAAAGATATTTTATTACGAACAAAAGCGACCTTTATCATGATTAAAAATAATGTCGTAAAATTTGAATCGTAATTCGGTGGATTTTATAGTAGACTTAAAAAATTCGAGGATTATTAACCTTTAAATCACTCTCATAGATCGTTATATTGAAATGTTACTTGTCAACAATTTTCTTATTTATCACCATTTAAATATATTTTATTTCTATTGTATATGAGATTTTTTTGATAACCCTTACATTAAAACATACACAGTTTTTCTTATATAAATATGCAGAAAACATACATTTTTATTATAATTAACTTATAAAATTACCGAGAGCATATAATAGCGGTCTGTCAGACCGACATTGTGGTTAGTGTGATTTTTTGGACGTAGTGATTTAAAGGTTAAAAAATCCGACCTAGAAATTCAAGAAATTAAAAATGAAGATAAATCAATAATCATATAGGAAGAATTTAACATGCAAATCCATTATCGATTTCTTTTAATTTCGCATGCGGATTTCGTTTTTTTTTCCTAGCATACACGTTTTTAATTGTGATCGTCCTTTATGTTCCATTTTCTATGTTCTATCATTGTTATTTTATGTTTGACAGTAATTTTCCCCAAAATACGGCAAAATATCCATCATTTCTGTCGCAGTCCGAATAAACATATCCGATAGAGCAACATGCAATTCGTCCTCATCAGGCGCATCCGGTGGCGCATGTTCGAAAGTCGGATTTCGGCTACGTCGAAAGGGGACAGAGAAGAGACGTCAGGATGAAGGCAGAAGGGTTGGGGGATATAAATCGATGCGCAAGCAGCTTTGCGCGAGTTGTTCTCGTTTTGCGGTCGGCCGTAGCACCTGTGCCCCGCATCGCCCGCCATCGCGAGAGCGGCGAGATTCAGGAGCGAGGAGAGGGGAAGGGGGGGGAGGGCAGGGGTAGAAAATAAATGCGAATCGATCGGCAGCTTAATCATTCGGGCAACCCTTCTCCTCCTGCCTCGTTGAAAGAGCAGCGGAAAGGCTCAGCGCTGCCGGGACAAAATGCTCGGGAGCCCTCCTCCCCCGACGCCCGAAGCCCGAGATATTGCCCTCTGAAAGGACGTACATACGCCCTCTCCGCGACTCGATCACGGCCGCATAAAGCACTCCCGGCGCAACAAGAAAAATGCGCCGGGAGACGCGCTATAAAAATCCAGTCGGCGCGAATAAAGCTCTTATTCGTTCGACCCGCGATAATACGATCGCTGCTACCTAACCAGTTTCCTAGCGTGCCTCGCATTTCCACGTACAACGCGGACTTACAGTCGGGTTATCAGCGATCCGCAAAAATTCTACTTTTCGTTGAGAGATTCTGCACGTATCCAGGACAGGGTATCCAACAGATGAATTTAGCGTCTTTTCGTCCCGCGATAAAATAAGTTATTCAAGATATGAAAATAAATACAAAATATTTATAACAAAACTCCTAATCGGCTAACAGAGAAACACAACGTAAGTAACGAAGTAACGATGAACAACAATCACCTTTGAAAATGTCTTTTCTTTAGTACTTTCTTTTTAAAATTTAATTTTCTTCTAAAAAAAATGGAGACATTTGGTGTAAGAGAGAACAAGATAGCACGTGTGTATCATTTACATTGAAATTCACACGCGTGATGTTCCGTAATATATTGAAACTACAACGCCTCGTACATACGCTTGGCTAGTATCCGCTTCCGTAGCTCCTCACCTATAGCGGAAGAATGATCAAGCATGCAACCATTCGCGGAGAGGAGGGAAAGGGAGAGGGAGGGAAGAGAGGAAGGGTGATTGACGAGGCGTCACGAAGATATAAAAGCGTTATATGGCGTGGCACGATACGCCGTTCTGCAAGCGGTGAACTTCTCCGATATGTATGTACAGGATAAGCCAGAAGTCGCGTCACGTTGTAAGAAAAGTGGCGTATCGAAAGAAATTTATCTTAATAAGGCGCATATAGCCCCGCGAAAGCTGCCATGCGGCTCGTCCGATAAAGGAATCGTTATACGTAAAATTTGCTTTCAATATGAGTATACATATAGCGTATATATTAACGAGACGTATACCCCGTCCGGCGGGGAGGGGGAGGAGAGGAGAAAAAATATCGCCTCTCCCACCGATCGACGGCTCCCCCGATATATCGCGTAACTGCATTGTTATATATCACGAAGAGCGACACATTGCTATAAAAGCCAACTGGCTTTGACTTTTACACCTCGAATAGCGGCCATCAAACGTTACTCCCGGCAATGCGATGAGCGACGTCGTAATCGTCTAGTTTTAGTGATATACAGATATATATCGCGGCAGATCATAAACTTTACGATTACCGTATCGCGCGGCTTTACGCGCGACTCGTCCAAGTTCCTCGCGTGCGAATTACCACCGCCGAACGTAGTTACGTACGTTCAGAAAAAAAGTTCTCGTACTCCTCGGTCTGCGGGCGAACGTCGGACTGTTCAGTCGTTCGCGGTCGTTAAAAATTCGAGGGGATAAAAGTGCGCGTAAAGACGTTCCGCGCGAGAGGATCCGAAGGAATTAAAAGCGTCGAAGTAGCTGCGCGAGGACACTCCCTTCGATTCGGAGGAGTGAAATGTTTGTCGGACGTTAACGGCGAAAGACATTTTCCTTCCCATTCGCGAGTCGCGAACGAAATGTTGCCTTGTCGCGCAATTCCGTGAGAGAAGGGAAATTATTTCTCGAAAGGACGTCACCCGAATCTTCTATTTCTCTCTTTCTCTCCGTCGCTGGGCGCTGTCGGGGGAGCGAGCGCGGTTTTTACAGCGTCAGCCGCTTTCTTGCTCTGGAAACTTTCGCGGGATAAAACGGCCGCTGGTTTACGAAACGGGGACTCAATTCCTAGCCGTTCGTAATGAGCGTCATTGTTGGCGCTACTACCCGCCCAAGTCCGCTTTCTTCCTCGCGGAGATTGGACTTTCCGAGACTTGGGCGAGAGGAACGGGGGTACGGTGTATATACGTACTCGCTTGTGTCGTGAGCAGGGCTGTTCTTAGAAACTACAATGCCCGTTGCCGCGATATTCGATAGGTCGCACTCGGGGGAGGCGTGCACATTCTCATGCTGAGATTAGAGCGAGATAGGGCAGAATAATTTCCGTTCGTTCGTGCACCGACGTGCAATTTTGATTTTTGTTCAGAAAAGTGCGGAAATTTAGAAACGGGGGGTGGAATTTATCTGATTGTCATTTACATCAATAAAATGAAATGCACAAATAAAATTCACTGTCTATAGATGTTTAAGATTTTAGATTTTGCCCATTTTCTTTCTTGATTTTATCTATTTTTGATGAGGTTAAAAAAATATATCTCATCTTTCTGGCTTTTTCTCTATTGTAATTTCTATGAGATATTAATATTTCCACAAAATATAAAATAATTATTTCGGGATTCTCGTAATTTTAAAAGTTTATAAAATGCACTGCAAAAAATATATGAACGAAAAATAAGAGAATACGAGAATGCAGGAAGAATCCGAGAGAAAATATTTTACTTTAGTTAAAAATTCGATTAAGCTTTTATCACAGCTGACTTTCACGTGACATCAAATAACAATAGCGGGAATGTGTCTCTGTCCCCTCCCGTTCTCTACTATTCGTCCGCATGAGAGGAAAAAAACCTCAAGATTACGAGGACGTTCTCCGGTAACGGGATAATAAAGCGACGAGCATTGTAGCTTCGCCGTGGACTTTTTGAAGTTGCTCTATCTCCAGCTCTCTTCTCTGGCCCACTCGCCATTTACGTTATTTTCAGCGTTTTTCTTCGCTCTCCAAACTGTCTCTCTCCCTCTGTCTCTCTTTCCCTTTCTCTCACCATTTCCCGCTTTGTCCCTTTTTACCGAGAATAAAAATCTTCAGGGGCTAAAAAACTTTGCAGTCTCGAAGAACTAAATCGCGATCTTTGTGGTGTAGCCTGAACTCAAGTAGCTCCTTCGAAGCGCATTCATCTGCGCGGCAATAAAAAAAGAAGGAAAACGTTTTTCAAACATCCAAAGTATTTCTATGGAGTTACAAAATACTAACGGGATATCGTCTTTATCGATTTCAGCGAACCGGCCTTTGACGATCGAGGAGCTGAGGGATTCGATATCCTCCGAGTTGGAGGGCAACCCACCCCTGTGGATCACCAGGAGACCGAGTAAGTACAGCGGCGTGGACGTGTACATTAACAACGCAATGATCCTCCTGGAGCAGAGCAACTTCCAGTCGAAACTGAAAGTCAACGGCGACACCATGACTCAGGTAAATATTTCGATATTACCTCGTATTTATATTTTAATATTTGCAAAACGTTAATGAGTCGTAAATAATTATTTTTTAATGATATCCAAAAAGAAATGCGGAATTTATACGCGAACATTGCACGGCGGAATAAATAAGAAATTGGGGTGTACACATGAAATTTTGGAATACTCTTGTACATGTATAAGATTACAAGGCAACGACTACCGTGTAACTGCTGTTACACAAGAAGCACGTACAAGCAGACGTCTGTTTTGTATCGATGGATTCGGTGAATCGCGAGTTTATCTGATTGTGAATCGTTTTTATTCCCCTCGCTCGTTCGGTCGCCACTTTTCTGACCGATTTCCCGACAGCCACTTCGACCGTCCCGGCATGCCAACGGCGGCTTTCTAACGAGCTTTTAATGAGCTTTACACGCTCACCTTAGCCGCGACCATTAGGCTGATGGATATCGCGCCATCGCGGGCCTCGATAATGTCGAACGGCGCTTCCTGGCATTCGCGCACTCTCTTCCCTCCTCTCTCTGTCTCTCGCGAGAGTCATCAGCTCCGGTTTATCGATGGAACGTCCAACGCTCTCACGGCTCCTTGCAAATTAAACCCGGCGTGTTAACGTCCGATTTATAATAATCAGCGCGACGAACTGTAAGTTATGCGAGAATTACGGGCGAGTCCATCTTTCAATTGAGCGGCGAGCGGGAAATCGCGGCGATTAAATGCGAGTTTATTCAGAAAAGTATAATTTCCCCCGCGGAAGGAATTTAGAAACTCGAAATTGGCATGTTACACGATTCACAGACTCTTCGGAATCTCGTCTAAATCCGTTCCTTCAAAGGATAACCGACGCGCAATTCGACGCGCCGCGCCGCGCGCCGGTTCGATGTGCCGTGTAGTGTTTGCGCAAATGCAGCCGAGTAGATCCGTCGGAGGTTCGCTCCGGGACTCTATCAAGCCGGAATCTTTTTCAAATACCCGAGTAAATTCGTCGTCAATAGCGTATATCCCCCTTTACAACGTATCTCCTGGGCTGATTTGGGTTTTCGGTCTCCCGGCAGGGAAGGCGGATCTCATTTCAGGTTGCCAGACGAATCCTTTAATCTATAGTTAAAGTACCATCACCTGATGAAAATCGCACGGGACTAGCCCGGGCTACGACTAATCCCTTCGACGAGCTCGCCTCGCAGATCAATCTCTCTCTTGCCTCCCGGTAATATTAGGGAAACTTTTCTCATCCACTTAACCCGCAAGTTCCATTGCCTCGGCTACTTCCTGCTCGTTACCAGCGTATGAAAATATCGGTCTATAAATCGCGTCTTTCCTCCCTCCCCATTTTTTAATAGATCGCGTTCAAACTAAAGACTAAGAGACTACCGTTCTTTCTGGCTCCCGTAAAAAAAAATCCGTATATGCGTTAATTAAAGTAAAAGAGGAAAATGCAACGTATGCTACAATATTATTATTTGCAGAGAATAAGGGAGAACTGCGAAAATGTAATTTACGTTTTAGAGTTCAATTTCGAACCAGATAATTATAACGTATCTCTCATCAGATTTAATTTAGGTTTAATACAGCTAAAATTACTTTGTTAATGTATTTATTACATGCAAATATCATGACAAGGATAACAGTGACGAGAAGGCTGAATTATTGTGTGCTGCGAATTTGATGTAAAAACTACAATTTCGATGTTGTACATTCCGTGAGAATTAGTGATAATGATTGATTGTAACATTATCATTAATAATTGCGAGTGCGCCAATTAGCCACCGGATGGCGACGATACATTGCAATAACTTACATTAATCATCCGTAATTATTAATTGCACGATGATTCAATAATGCATGATTGATAGGTATAGAGCTAGACGAAAGTGAAATAATCACAATCGATAGTCGTAGTATATGGTTGCAATATCAAAACTATGATGAAGTAATAATTAAAATCTTAAATTATAAAAGGAGAATTATAGAAAGAAAACAGAAAAGGTAATTTTTTTGTACAGAATTTTCCTATAACCGTTTAAGAACATTTTATTTCCGAGAAACTTTTTTTATTAATATCTAAATTCTTAATTTTGTTATTATGCTGCATCCAAAGATACGCAAATTGTGATTAATTTGATAAAAAAAACTAAAATCTACTATCATATTAATAGGTATTCCTTTTTATATTATGATATGCTTCTTCCAAAGCTCGTGACTTTTACCAATATCTAATTTTGTAGAAAAATTATGTACATTTTTATCCGGTGGACCCGCGGAGACATAAAAGTGTTGCAAAACTCCTTTTCCGCGTATGTGACTATAATAGGAAATGTCTCAACAATAGAACGGGTCAGCGATTCGTTTTCAGTTGGTGCCCGCTCCCACGAGCGCGTTGCATATCTATCAACTTGAGAATAGATTTATGCGCATTGTCCTCGTTCGTATACCCGATAGACATACGTATTCCATTATCCGTCGTGTCTCAAGATCGGGGCAGGGGGTTTCGTTCGAGGGAGTTTCACGGAGAAATATTCTCAAAACTTTGTCCTTCATCGCGACGCGCTTTTTACCGAGGAAATTCATCGCCAAAGAATCACTCGACATCGTCGTAAATGCACGTCGAGCACACTCCGCCAAATTCGAACTTGACAAATTCGACGGGGCGGCGTCTGTCGTCGCGGCGTGTAACATTTCTCCTTCGCGAGTTTCGCGCAAAAACGATACGTTCGTCGATACATTCGCCGCGCGATCGGCGTTGCAATTCAGCGAATGGCTCCCCCGTAACTGTCCGTCCCGGCACTTTATGATTATGGACACCGTATTTACGATGCACCGGATTAGAAATATAGTCCGGGCCGATGCGCATTTTAAGTCCCGCCGTAAATAACGTACAGTTAATTCCGCCTTATCCCTTATGCAACGGATTAATGTTTCATTTGGCGAACATGTGGCTCGTATTCTTTGATCCACCGTGCGAGCGAGCGTGGATTTTTAAAATGCTCGATCTAATCGATTTCTCAACAAACGTTGTCAGCTCACGATACGTTTTCGGTGTTATCGGAATATCTAATTCACAGCGAGATATTCGTGGAAAGTTCGGCCGGGCCTTTTTTCCACCGTTATTTTATCGCGCCATTTTTCCGAAGATATGGATTTTACGATGTCTTAAGAAATTCTCTCCCCGAAAGCTTCGATTTCCTGACGGACGCGCAGGAAGTCGAGATAAAAGGGGCGAACGTGAGAAGAGGCGGAGGACTCTTCATCCCCGGAGTTATGGCCAGGTTTTATTACGTCAGCCTGCTCGTAAGAACGAGAGGAATTCGAGAGGTTCCGATCCAATTTGGAAATATATTCGCAGATTTGTTGTCGTCCCCCTTCTGCCTATGTCTCTCCGGAAGATACAATATATATTACTTCCTGCCGATCAAATGGTATTCTATTCAGTTTCCTTGTAAGGACGAATCTCGTTGCCGAATCCTCTCTCCTAGGAAGCTACAAAAATTGTTTTGTCCCCCGTCTTACTGTTGGACTCATTCTATAATTCGCAATCTAATAAAATGGAAAATATCCGCAATGGCGAACGTCGAATTTTAGCGAAGTTTGTCGTGCTGCAGGGGGAAAGGGGTGAACCACATTGCGCGAAGGGCGGAAAAGCGAAAGAGAGGGAAGGAAGAGAGAGAGAGAGAGGCGGTGTTTTTAATCTCAAAAGACGGTGTGGGTTTTGATCTCATTATACATCCCTGGAACGCAGCCGCCCCCTCGAGCAAGCTCCTCGCTCCTGTTTTCTAACAATCTAAAGAAATTCCAGTCCGAATAACTACACCGACGCCAGCAGGATCGCCTAAAGAGTTACGGTTAATGGAGGGGAAAAATACCGGGGTGGAATGACGGGAAGGGTTGCTGTAAGAGAGAAAGAGAGGAAGGGAGAAAGAGAGGAAGCGAGGAGACGCCGGGAGGAGTACTTGAGTGCTGCACCGAGAAGCCAGTGGTGCGAGCAGTTTGTCCGCGGAGAGGAGAATTGAAAATCAGCCACCGCGAGAGGCGGACGCTTGGTCGGAATAGTTGCGAGAAAGGGATGAAGTTTTTCGCGGATGGGTGGGGCGGCAGAGAGAAGGGGCCGCGAGCACGTCGGGAGGGCTGGTGCCGCGTTTCGTATCGGACTTTGCGGGGAAATAAAGATGCCAGTCGCTCGGTTGGGAAGTTCATGCCGTCGTCGAGAGGAGAAACGCTTGTATAAACCGACCGATGGGCGAGAACGTAAAAATACGTATTAAAATAACGGAGGTAACCTTGAACGCGATGAAACTTTGAATAAAGCGAATGCTTTTAAGCGAGAGATATTCTACTGTGACAGAGAGAGAATTGTTTAAAAGCGAGAGAATTGTTTGTCGGGAATAATGAACGAGAAGCGATGAATTGAGCGTTTGGATCAATGGATATAACTGTACAATCAATAACTCCTAAAACGGATGGGAAAATTTGCATCTAATTTTAGTCTAATTACCCCTAAGTATTTGATTGAAGCGAGATAAATTCGGGAAGTGAGCGCAACCACCTGTATCTATCCGCGAGTTAAAAATAGTAAGATCATAGTACCTGTTAAAAATGCATTTGAAGTAGACGAGAAATTTCACTGAAGACAAGGAGGCAAAGTACTGCAAGGACGCAGAGAAAACGGGTGGAAGAAAAGGTCATTCATCGTCGGAAAGTAAAGAGTGAAGAGAATGAGACGAGAGGTGGCGAGGAAATAAGAGTTACCGAGGGAGGGGGATGTAAGACAAAAATCGCGCCACTTCGTACGAGAGCAAACCCGTACGTCGGTCCCTCTTTTCTCCTCCCTTCTCTCCTCTGCTCGACTCAATGAATCTCGAAATGACCTTAAAGGAGATAATCCAATTTCCGTTTGCAATTTCTCCGCTCGATCATCCATTGACTCGTGTCTTGTCATACGATTAATGAATCGCGACTAGACGAATTCGACAGAGACAAAAGAACTCATGTTTTAAAGATTCAATAATATTCAATTTCGATTCATAGATATCCGTGCCCGTTCACAATTTATAAGTGCGTATCAATACCGTCTTTATTAATTTTCATTAGGAATAACATTTGCAAGTCGAAAAGCAGTCGCGATTCTTCGGGCTCTCCTCCCTCTCTCCCAGGCTATACATTTCTTTTTCATAAATTTCGATGATAATTGAACGAATGAAAAAATACGGCAGTTTCTCTTAAGAAACCGGGAGCGGTAAATGAAAATTAGCGCGATTTCTATACCGTGCGATGACTCCCTGTCGCGCGGAGCTACATAATTCGAAATTCCCCGCTTTGCATGGAATTACCCTTGCGCTCTCTCTCTCTCTCTCTCTCTCTCTCTCTCTTCCTGTCTCTCTCTCCTTGGCTTGAATATTCATGCGGAAAGAATGCATTTGATTACTTAATAGCCGCGACTCGCCGCGCGTATAAAATTATTAACGTACGTCAACTGCAAACTTAAACGCTCCACTGTTCCTCGTCGTTCTTCTCTCGCACCTTTTCCTCTCGCACTAATTGAAAAGCAGAGAGGTTTTAACTAGAGACATGGTCCGTTATTTTCTAAATTTACGCAAAATGTTAAGTACTTCATTAAAGGGCTTTTTCCGAAAAAAAAGTGATACGCGCGCGCAGATGTGAAATGTAACGACCCGGAAAAATGTTGCTGCACGTTTCGAAATAATTGCAAAATAGTAAAAGATCGCAATGATAAAAGGGATACCTACATGATAACGCATCGACAACACTCTAATGAATCGCCGCAATAATTTTTCAGCGGAAATAGACCGGGATCGTATCGATTCTAATCTCCGCTTCGAAGACCATATCCACGCGAGTTTATCGTAAAGGTAGTCGCGTACGATAATTCATCGTTAACCGCGCGCGGATCGTGATTATCTCGCGGCGGGACGCCCAGGAGAAATAAACGAGCACACGCGGGGGCTGCTGTGTATCGAGATGATAACTCGTACCCGCGTGTACCATCCCCGACCGCGAATATGGGTAAGCCGGGCTGATTAAGAAGGAGCCCAGCTCTCGCGGAGAGAGCGAGAGAGAGAGAGGCTGCGAATGGCTCGGCGGCAACTATCGGTAAAGTTTAATTAGCGTTAACTTTACGATACTCCGCGGTAGGCCGACCCGGTGGTCGCCGCACTTCCCACTCGCGCGAAATTAGACGGGTACAACAAAGAAGCTCGGGCGAAATTAATATGATCGAACGGCAGCTCGCAACGGAGATCGATAGCGGCGTCCTATCGCGACCGCTCCAGAATCCTCGCGATCCTTAACGATTCCTCGGATTTCAGTCAAATCTTTTTAGCGCAGCTTACGATACTCCCAGACTTCTGAACGTCTTCCCGAAGCTTTCAAGCTGTTGAAAATCGAACGCGTGGAGTAGGTAGCCGCGCGAGAAATTAAGGATTCGTCCTGCGCTGGCGAAACGCGCGTTCGATCTCACCTCCTGCCTTCTCCGCCCCCTTTCCTCCCCCGCCCACCGACGACTCGCGACCGCGAGCAAGATAAATGGTCGTCCCGACTCGGCCCGTCTTATCCCGTAAGGAACACACAAACTTCGCTTTCCTCTCTCATTCTCAGTGAGTAAAACGATTCATTTCTAGCCAACCGCCACACCCTACGCCACCCCGTCCTCTTCCTCCTTTCCCGTCGCGTCCTCGTCGCCGTCGCCGTCGCTGTCTTTTTCTGCGACTACGCTGGATAAATGGGACACGCTCCTTCGCCGTCTTCCTTTTGCTCCTCTTATCATACGATCTTCCACGTTGCGCAGCGCTGCTTCCTCTCGCCCTCGGAGTGCTCATAGGCGCCAACTTTCCGTGCGATCGCGCGCGCGCGACTGGCTCTTCCTTTTTTTTCCTCTCCCCTCCCTTCCCCCCTTCTTTACAGACGCGGTGATGGATGTTTCGTATTAAAACTGTCGGCGCGGTCACGATGGATCGTGCGGATATTTAATTATCTACTCCATGAACGGCTTGCATCAGGAAAGTCTACATATTTCTGAATCTTCAAAAATTATAGACACACGGAATTTTATACGGAGGGACACTTTGTAACTCTCAGAGTATCATTTGTCCGCGAGACGCACGTATCGGACGGTCACTGTAATAACGGCAGATACGGAAGTAGCCGAGGAAAATCGCAGTTTCTGATGGAATTATTATGTTAACTCAGTTCTATTATCAACGTCGCTTATTAATACAGTTTCTCAGCGTTTCAATTAGTTTCTTCGCTTCTCTCTCTTCTCTTCCCGCTCCCTCCCCTTCTCACACCCTTGAATTTAATTATATTTATTAAAGATGTTGTAGCAGGACCATAACAACGAAAAGAATGAGCTTATGCGGGATATTAAATAAAATTCTGGCAAGGGGATGTTTCTCTATCAATACAGAGCGAAGGAAAACTACATCTTAATATTCCGCAGGCGAAATCTCCCGCGGGGCGTTGCAACTTCGACGCTTATGTTTCCCAACGCCCTTGTTCCTCCTCTGCCGTTTCCCCCTTTTCTTTCCCGACAGAGGAAGCCAAACAGCTATAGGGAACGGGATATCCCTCGCGAGATAAGGGAGTCGGGGACGATCGCGGGTGAGAGGGAATAAATAGCGGCGGCAACGTTTTAGTCGTGAACTTCTTTCCTTTTCGGGATGGTAAATGATGGTGCTTCCCGTGTTCCCGACGGGGGACGCGCAAAGGGGGTAACAGTTTCTACATCTTATCACTTTCCAGCGACTCTACTCTTTCGTGAAATAGCATGTAACGTGATAGAAAGAGAGAGAGCGAGAGGGGGGGAGGGGAAAGGAGGAAAGAAAGAGAGAGGCAAACGGGAAGAAAGAAGAGTGCGTAAAAGGAACCTATTGCATTCTCCTTTTTGGCGGTGTTTTTCTTCGGCAGCAGATGTCGTGTAATATATTTTCTATACCTAAAGATGCGACACAAGGCAACGTACACTGTCTCCCTTATAAATATTTCTAACTGAGCGCAATCGAATTTTTATCGTGTCAAGTAAAGCTAAAGGAACGTTATTTCGAGATATTGTTTTCGAGGAGAAGCCCGTCTTTTGCCGAAGAGAATTTCGTAGCGCATTACCTAGACACATACACACGCGCAAATAAATATGTTTTTCTCTCCTTCATGAGTTTACTATTAAAGCGCGCGTCAGTTGTTTCTGACAGACCCGATACAGCCGGCGTTCGTCGCCGCAGGATAAATACTCGCGACGTGCACCTCCCGGCACAGCCTTCTCTTTCTGTCTCTCTCTCTCTCCCCCTTTCGTCCTCGCGTTTATTCGCTTCCGCTTCCTCCACTTCGGGGGAGGTTTATCTTCGCGTGTCTCTCTTCGCGCGCGTCATCCCCGTTCCCGCCAGCACTCTCGCGCCACGACCAGCTTGTGACGTCGGTTTGTCTCACTTCGTCTTCCCCGCCGCAGGCCGGATTCGTGGATCCGTTCGACTTGGCGAGATTAACCTGGGTCCTTGCAACTCTTGCAAGTCAGAATTAGGGATTCTAAACCTTAATCCTGGGGGATGCTTAGCTCAACATCCCCACACCCGTCAATTGTAATTTCCAGAGAAAGTCTAAATACACACATAATACCTTCTTAAAAAATTCTTCTCCGTTTATTCCTTTTAATATTAATATTAATATATCTAAACTTATTATTTGTCCGATTTTTAATATTGCTTAATATGACGATAAATTATTTTAATTCTGCCAAATTGATAACATATTTATAAATAACAATCAAACGATCTTTGTGATTTCAGGTCCTACACATCATAAACGAAGTGCTGGAACCTGTGCGATCGCACTCGGTGGAGTCGCCGATCTACAACCCGAACGCCTTTCAATTTCTGAACCAGAGTGAGAATCTCAATTTGGGCGACCATCGCGTACGGTAAGTAGGACTGTTCGGTAAATCAGCGCCGGGTTCGAGAGAGAAAGAAAGAGACTCCGCTATTTACACGGCGATCGTTTTCGGTAGTGGGAGTGTCTGGCGGCAGATATAAAAGAGTAACGAGGACATTTATTGCGCCCGGGAAAAGAAGAGAGGAGGGCTTTTCACGCCCTCGAATCTCGGAGCGATAATCCGCCCCTACGGGTATATCGGCGTTCTCGAGGCGTCACTTTTCAAGAGATACCGTATTCTTCAGAAATTTATTGATATTGTTAAGTTCTGCAATTCGAAAATTTCAAGAATCCTTCAATATCGTGAATATACTCGCGAATAGACTCTGAATCAGAATCGATGGCATACATAGCCATAGCCATGTACCGTAAAAGATACCGTATAAAAGATTACATGATCCTTAAATCTAAATATCTTATACTGATTATTCTCATTTTCTCGAATAATTCTATGGGTCATTCTAAAGTATTATTACGCCAACCCGTCAATTAACGCAGTATCCCCTTCTCTAATTTAAAAATTTAAATATAGATACAAAAACTTGGTGCATTTAAATAACGTAAATAAATGCACGAACTTTTCTCGTTTGTCTTATTAACGTCGGCGCGTCTCGTACACCATCTTCATAATTAACCCTTTTTTTTCTCTCTCTCCCTTAGTACCTTCCGACAGCGGATCAACATCGGGAAGAAGGAATCTATCTTCAAGGCCGAGGGTCGTTTCACCTTCTTCATCCCCGTTGACGAGGGTTTCAAGGTAAGCCGCTTTGGCAATCTTCGCGAATTGATCATCCGAATTCAATATCATGATTTTAATATCTCCCGCCGCGATCGATTTTCCCTTGGAAAATTCAAAGACAATCGCATTCGTTGCATCTCGTTCGAAGTTGGATAAAAAAATACGTTTATAAAATCTGCATGCAATGGTACATCAAGCAAACGCCCGAGGATTCTGGATTTATTTAATCCTAGATATATATACATACTCCTTTTTTATGTAAACACTGAGGTCCCAGAGACCTGATTCATATTTGTTATCATAACTCTAGCAAAAATGGACATGTTCCAATTTTTTTTTTTATTGATCCCATTCGGTGGAGTCGAAAATCGATCAAGAAACAGGTGCATAATTATAAAAATTGATAGAGTTAAGGAACTCCGAGATGTATGAGTTAAAAAAGAGAAAAAGTTCAAAATACGAAAAAATCTTAATTTAGCTACTTGTGCTGAGGTTCTTCTAGTGTGTATATCTAATAATTAATGTAAAAAAAAGATTTAATTCACGAATTGTTAAATTCAGAATTTATTTAATGTGATATTAATGCGTTAATATTCTTAAACACGTGAGGGATCTTGCGGGATTATAAAAGGGATTTTCCCGGGTCGAAATGCTGAAAAGAAATGATTATTGCACAACATGGCGATAGCACGGCACCAGACATCGCAGAATTTACGCGCGCGCGTACGCGGGATGTTCCGTGCACGCGGAACACCGTGTTGCAGCGGGCGGCGTTACACGGGATGACGTTTTACCAGCGGATGTAAATTATTCCGTACGGATACGTACGCGTGGCATTTAGACGTTTCAAACGTCGGATTATAAATGCGACATTCCGACGTCGCGTGCAAAATCTATTTCAACGTCGAAGAAACACGTACCGCACGAGCGTGCGGTGGGTATCTTTTACAGGCGGCAGCTACGATAAAAATTGATACAAAATGATAAATCAATGCGCTCGCGCAATTATTACACGCGCTTCACAAGAAAAAACGAAATTGTAAAAGTAGCGAGCACTTTCGGATTTTCACACATAAACAGGAAATTCTCGAAAAATACCTGTGACGCCAAACTTTTTCTTAGCGATTCTAAGCATTTTACAAAGTTTATCAATTTTTTATCCACTCATTTATCTAATGTCTGTTGTCTAACATTATCTAATGTCTGTATTCACGTAAATCTTATAATAACTTCTTATTATGACAGAAAATTTTGAGAATATGTAGAAATTAATGGACTAGAACTTACCGAAGAGCGATCGCGTTTGTCTTTCACGATTAATTGCGATGGCACTCATTCCTCGATGTTATTGGCAGCTGCTCCAAAATCTGATGTATTTTTTTTCACTCACATTCGCATCCACGAATGATTATAGGTATTTCCTTTTCCCAAGATTTTGTTTGATCGCGATCGATTAATTCACTCCCGACGACAAGAAGGTTAGCTCACATTATAGTTCGCTCGTGAATTCATTCACTACCGGCACTCGCGATAACGCAAACACTGTTGTCAACACTGTCGCGAATACCGTCGCGAACACTTGTCAAGATAATTTTCTTGCTCGCCTGATTCGGGCGCAATTCAGAGACGCTTGAAAATATAGATACGGTGAGTCACTTGTCCTAATCAATTTGTTACGGCGATTTCTCGATGCGCTCTCGTGATGCTCCTCGCGAATGGCACTCGCGAAGTGTGAGTATCCCGAAATGCGAGCAAAAGATTGAGATTGTTCCGACGACCCGGCGAAATACGACCCGACGTCGCGACAATGACTTCCGACGACAACTTGTTACGGGTACCGCGTTGATCGAACTAACCGATTGATATACCGAAATGATTACTCGTCGCCAGAATCAGCGTTTTCAACTCTCGTCTACGCGAAATTCACTCGGAACGAAGGAAAAGTCACAAAATTCGAAGCGGAGCGATCGCGACTCAACCGCGTACCGGAGACGCTGAATATGAACTGACCGGCGATTAGCGAAATTCCGTCACGCGATGGCGACGCCCGCGGAAAGATTTCTTTTGTATTTACTTACTAGAAACGTATTACTTCGCATTGAATTATAAGATGTATATTATAATGGGACAAGTGCTATGGAACTTAAGAACGGAGAACGGTTCGCGACAAAAAATCTAGGTACGTTGTTTTTTTTTAATTATTGTTTATCGATGTGCTATTTTTAAATTATCGTAAATTGTTTTTAATTATTGTTTAACGTTATTATTTAATATTGGTCGTAAAACGTTTATTATTATCAAGAGTGCCGCGTAAAAGCTTTTTAACGTTCGCCTAAAGGTGCTCGTACAGTACAAATTTTACACGTTAAAATTTTTCATTCTCTCTTTTTCGCGTAGGTTCAAGAAACGTCCATTAATTCCTGGCGGAAATAAGGACAATTAAAAATTATGAATTTCGCTGTGCGAATCCGTGCGCATCCCGCCGACTCCTCTCTCCCTCTCCCCCTTCCCTTCCGGGTGTTTCATTATGCTCGCATCGCAGCACTTCGGCGCGGAATTCCGCTTTTTCTCCAATTTTCAACGCCAAGCTCTCGTGTACACACAATGGACGTTCGCGCGCACGTAATCCAACTTGGAACGTAAAAACGAGCCGGAGTTAAACGAGCCGTCCCGTCAGAAATTACCGAAAGTTTCGCGCCTGTACATACGACGCGTCGGAGTCCGGATTCGAAAAAAAAAAGAAGGAAGCCGAGGAAAGCCGAGGAGAGGCAAGAAAGGAAGAAAAAAACAACCAATGGGGAGAGCAAAGAAAATCGAGGCCCGCGGTGGAGAAGGATGCGAGAAAGTGTGTAACGACGGTTGTACGACTCGATCTCGAAAAGTTCCTCTCTCTCTCTCTCTCTTTCTCAACGAGGTCGTCATCGTCGTCGACTTCTCACCGAGCTAGAACTCCACGCCCGGTGAATCGAGACTCTCCCTCCCCCCTTCCGCGTCTTCGTCACCTTTTGCTCGCGAGGTCGGTCCTTCCCGCCGCGCGCCATCCGCGAGGATGGGATCTAAAGTTCGTGGTTGCCGCGCCTGAGATCGCGAGTTGCCGTGACAACGGCGGCCGGCCGCGCCTTTTGTGCGGGGAGAAGCTGGAGGCGTCGGGATGAAAGGACCAGGCGGTATATCCGGACAGCAAGAAGGTGCGACGTGAAGGGTTGTCACAGCAGTCCGCAAAATAAAAACTCAACTACGTCACTTTTTCTTGAGGGCGGCAGAGAGGGAAGGATATAAGTTTATTATCTGTCATATATCGCGGAAATTACACTCGCTAACAATTAGATTCTTCTCGGCGAGTAGCAAAAATGTGCGACGTGTGGGAAAATCGCGCGATTATTGAAGCAACGGAAGTGTCGTTTTCCTTTTCGAGTTACGTATGGCATAACAATGATCGCGTTATTTATATCCCTCTCAATATTCCGAGGGAATTTTCGTCATCTTTCTCTCTCTCTTTCTGTTACAGCCGATGCCGAGGCCGAATAAGATTGATCAGCTGGTGATCGACGGGCACGTTATACCTAACGAGGTCCTCTTCACCTCGCCGACGCCGGAGAAAGTGCCGTACCGGACCCTCGTGTTCTCCGAAAGTTCTATGAAAGTCGTCATCAGCTTTATGAAGTCGCAAAATAAAGGTGTGATAATCGTCGCTCGGTGCCGACCCTATCGTCGGCACGAAACAGATTTCGGGCTATCAATTAATTCGATTCGAACGGGGGCGATAACGTGATTCAATCATGAGTCATCATTAGAGATTGTCCGCTCTATTGTCCGCTATTCATTACATTGTTATTACGCTTAATACGTTGTTACGCGAGAAGGCTTCGCGTTTAATAAAGCGTTTCGCGTACGGCTGAGAGGGGCGTGTCTGCGCGTTTCCGACACAGCGGCCCGGTGTGATAGATCCGTGCATATTGTATTTCGATGACTAATTGATAGTCCAATTTTGCAGTCTACGTTCAATCGGACACACTGGTGGGCGATTCCAACCACCCGGCCGGAGTGGTGCTGGCGGAAATAGTGAAGGCGAACATCCCGGTGCGGAACGGCGTCGTTCATCTGATACAACGACCGCTCATGGTCGTCGACAACACCGTGAAGGATTTCCTGGAGGTCAGTGCCCGATTCATGCCCGATCATGCTCGGCTCTCTGATCCACGAGCATTCGTTTACGAAGTTTCACTCGGCGTTAATACATTCGGCCGCCACGGCCGGTGTCGGTGATTTTCCGAAAAAGCGCTCTGGCGGTCGAATTGTAAACGCTGAAAATTACTGATTCTTTGGTCGGAGATATTACATTAATTCTATCAATTTATTTATGGAATTGTTTCACGATAAAATGAATTCTCTGCGGCAATTAGCGCGTTAATCGATAACATCGTTTGACGCTCAATTATTAGATGCTGAGAATTAATGAAAATAATGTTGGCCGGCTTAATAGACAGCAAATATAATGAATTATAGTGCACGGTGCGTCATGATGTCGCATCATGTGCGTTGGGTTCGCGCGGCCTCATCATCGACGTCATTTTGCCCGTATTCATTAAAATGATTACGTTGACACGCGGCTGCATTTCGTTAAAATAAATTGTTAAATACTACAAGGAACTACCATATAATTCTAACGTATGTATGATTATAGAGAAGCATTAGGTAGTTGTTCGGTACTTTTTTTTGACGTTTTAAACTAAAATGATTTGCGTTGCATTAGGTTGGACAACATATATCTGTCCTACATTTAAATTAATCCCCATCTGTAACAAAATTAATAACTTCGTCTTGTGCGTCAAATATAAATGTGTTTCCATTTTCAAACATCAGCTCCAACGCGTAGGAATATTATTTTAGCATTTTACGATGCAGATGTAAACAGATTTGCATTTAGAAAAAAGCAATGCTATCTTCATATTTCCGCGATGCAAACACCCCCTACATTTGCATTCCGAACAAGCGGCATATTTATTTTTCAAAAAAAAAATGCGTAAGCGTATTATATTTGACCGACATTTTTACGCGATATAATCCTTTTGTTTCTTGATGAAGAGATAAAAATTCAGATGTCGTTGTAAATCGCTAAAAATCTGTATATAGGAAAAATTACGAAGTTGTTAAAAAAAAAAAAAAATGACTCGGAGATTTACAGAGATGTACCGATCGGCGAGCGGAAGAGGAGGGGGGCAGGATTAAGCTGAAAAATACTTATGATACGTTAAGCCCTTGAAATATCCCCTCGCTAAAATTCGAGCTTTCTGTGAGTCTTCAATCATCCCGTGAAACCCAGTTAATGCAAACGACACGTACGTGCGGCGAAAAAGCGACGTCGATTGACCCGGAAAGCCGTCCACCCCCCGTAAAAGCATTGTGACCGGTCCGGTTTATATACGAACGTCGCGAAGAAAAGGGCGAAATTTATAACTTCGTTTAAACCTCCTTACCTCTCGGCGGAGCTCTCTGCGGAATTGAAGGCGAGCTTTTGTTTCGAACTGGCGTTTCTTTCGGGAGTCTCTCATTCACACGCCGGGCGTAAACGCGCGACGCGGTCCGTCACTGTCGAATCCGCATTTTTTTTTCTCTACGAGCCGCGTTTGATTTCCACACGGTGAAAGCTCTCACGGTGTCGAGTTTGATTCTCCGTCTCTCGATTTTGTCGTCGAGAGGGTGAGAGTCTCTCTCTCTCTTTCTCTCTCTATTTTTCTCTTCCTCCTTCCCCGCGTCGTCCGCCTTTGAGTACGACATGCGCAAAGAAAACATCGCGATAATAATGAGAGACATAAAGCGTGATGAAACATGAGAAATTCCAAACGCGAACATCAACGGCGAATCTGTTATTTCAGAAATATATCCCAGCTCGAAATTCCCCCGCTGTGCCAAGTTACACAACGTTCAAACTTCAGAATCCGTGAGAAAACATAAGGCGCACGATTAAATGTTGATACAACGGAGACGTATCCAATTTTCGACAAGAGATACCATATTCGCCAAACTCGCTTACATCTTGCGCGCCGCGCACGATTCCAAGATGAGCGAACGGAAAGCAAGCAATTATTTTTTTTGCGTACCTTTCTCCCTCCCTGTTTAAATGTCTCTTTAGATATTCCGTGTAAGCAGCGAAGAGCCGAGATAATAATCCGCGCACGCATCCCTCGGAAACAAAGAACGGGACACGCGTTACCGCGCGAGAATGCAGGTCTCTCGCAGTGCATGCTGCACGATGTGCACACACTAGCGATAAATCGCGGCGCCGAGAGGCGAAGACGCATACACACACCGACCCACACATCCTCGAATCCGTGGAAATTTCTGCGCGGGTGCTTCATCTCTCGCCGACGCGACGCGACGCGACGCCTGGCGTCTATTACGAATTCAGGCCGCGCGATGCATTAGAGGGACATTAGTATTCGCAGTCTCGATACGTATATCCCGACGTGACGTGTTTCGCGGAATCTGTAACGCCGACCTCAAAGGATCCGCACGTCTCCCGGTCCCCTCGACATTGTATACGTGGACCGTAGGGATAACGCGCCGTCTCCGTCGCCCTCCAGCTCTCGCGTAATCGCTTCCGTTGTAACCGCTTGCGTCGTCGAGCACCATCGAGTACACACACACGCACATTCCGAGTACGCACCACCGTAACGCGTTTACTTAACCACGGACGACATGAGAGCTCTGAACGGAGAGGCAATTGCGAGCCACTAAGAACGCGCCCTGTAGCGAATTCGCGACGTTCCCGGTCAAAGAGCCGCCCCCCGATCATCTCACCCTCGTATCGCGCTCAGAGAATGTGGAGTATCTCAATTTGGATCAGGGAAAAATAATTTATCTTGTAGCTTCAGCCGGCAGAAAAGTCTTGTGAAGTTTATCGGAACAGAAATAAAGTCGGACGATATTTTTCATCCCTCTTTAACTTCTTCGTAACATCGAGCTTCCAAGCAGAGATATTAGATTCACAACAAGTTGTATAACGACATTACGACAGGGAGCTACTGATCGCCGCTACTGATCGTCGTAATGCTAAACCGGTTAAAGACGTGTGAAGAGGCATCCGCAATTTGTACCGCGCGGGCGAGAGCATCGGCGCCCTCGCAGCGAGATAATCGACGATGTGTGTGCACTCCTGTGAAGCCGAGAATCGCAAGCGGAAACGAGATGGAGAACGCACGCTTTATGGCGATCGTAAAGATTCTATCCGACCCGGGCGCTGCTGCGTCGCCCGTCGTGTATCGTAATGATTCTAATCTCGGCGGATTCACAGGCGTTTTAGCACGCGGAACTTGCACGTGCCCCCGAAATAGCTCGTAATAATGTTACGTTTCGATTATACGCGCGCAGAGCCTCCTGCGTTGTAATTCAAGCTTCTGGGCCTCGGCACGTTAGAATTTAATGTATTACGAGTCAATTTTGAGAAACTCTCGGCTCGTATTACATCCTAGAGAAAGGCTTTCCACGATGCTTGGAGCTCAAAAAGTTATTGAAGTTGAAATTCTTGGATACTTCATCTTTGAATAGCTATAAAAGATGAGTCGTTGAAAATAAAATAAAATTAAAATAAAATTTACTCGCGTACCTAATATTTTGTATTGATATAAGCGAAATGCAGCCGCAAGAAAAACATAAGGGCATTAATATAAAATCGCTCACGAATAATGAAACGAGACAGAGTTTTGTTCAGTCGAATGCGTACAATAATGCGTCTTTTGATGAGGCTGCCGTTACACAATGTATCGGATATCCCTCGACGGAGAGGTGATCTCTTACATAATATATTCTGTTAACCATTTTTTTTATATTGAACAGCGACACGAGCCGATAAAAAAAAACACCGTCATTTACAGGAAACACACTCGTCCCTGCAACACACGTACAGAATTATAACTTATATACTTGATATACTTAAGCGCATTTACTCTCTACTCTCTCGATAACAGCGTCATCGCTCGGATGGCAGGAAACCTGTTAATCACAGGTGCAAGAATAACGAGCCAATTAGTTTCGAGCTACTTTATTTAAGACACTAACAATTTCATTACTCGTGCAGGTGGCACCCGTCAAGCACAACTACTACAACTACAACTAGGTCACAGTATCACTCCTCACAAGAATGCCTTCTCGTCAACAGACAGTTTATCCGATATTTACTTAATATTACGGCGTCTCGATGGCATTATAAGGGAACGATGTTAATTAAAATTTAGCCGTCTGTATTTATTATTAGCCATTCGTATTATCATAAGCTCGCGAATCTTCAAACGCTTGGATGAACCCAAGTCTTCAACTTTAAATGTTAAATCAGTTTGACGTCTAGACGTCTTATTGATTTACGATTAATAGATCGTTGGAATTTTTTAAATTCATAAATACTTTATATAAATGAGCGATTAAAGACTCTGTATCGCGTAAACATTTCAGAAGTGCGGATTCAATAATATTACAATGAAATCTGAATGCAATAGGCAAGATCGCATAATAGTATCTACACGCTCGGTTTTTAGTTAACACCGTTCCCACGGTGCAAAAGACGCTGTCGATGCGGCTCCGTCTTCTCCGATGGAAACGCGTCGACGCGCTCACCGGAGCTCTCCCTCGAGACGCTTCTCATTCACCGTCATCGGACAAATCTGTTCCACTTCTCGGCGGGAAAATCGAGAAAAACGTCGCTGAAACATATTATTTCACTCCACGATATATACTGTCACACGTACTACCTCTACATGAACGATCGGAACACACGACTCCGTTCTACGTACAAACAAGCGCATCCATCCCGCGGCCTCGCCTCTTGCAATACGTGCCACATTATCTATGTGCGTGTACACAGGGTGGCGCGCGCGAGCGAGCGAGCGAGGGCTCGTTCACGGCATAATTACGGCTTCGCGCAGAGGATAATAGAGAAATCTGAGGAGGACCGAGATAGATCGTACGATTCGACATGCACGCGACTGAAAATACATTTTTCGCATCTTCGTGCGGGGCTTGATAATTCTAACGCGATTCTCCTGTTTATCAAATATTTTTTCCACTCCTGGAAATAACGAAGCCGCAAACTGCTTGAAAATAGAAATGACGTGATCGCGCGGACCATCCAGTGTACACCCTCTATGTATGTGTCACATATG